ATGCTGTAGATATTTGTAAGGGCATTTGGCAGATTTATTTTCAATCCCTTTCTTTACAATCTCTAGTATGAAATTGCCTCCTTCTCACCTGCCACATGCTGAATTGAGTTTCACTGAGCTATCCACTATGACTTCAAGGTCTTTTTTCTTATTAGTTACCAAAAACTGAGATACCATCATACATGAAGTTAGGATTTTTGCTCCAACATACATCACTTTACATAAATGCGTTTGCTATTAGACGGACAATTCAACTATTTTAAGAACATCCTCCTGTAGCCCTTAAAATAATATTATGTTATCAGTATACATACACAAACATATGCACATAATGCCAGGTGGAAAAGTTCTGCATTTTGTGCTACTCATACTGACAGAGAATTTGCTTTTGACATTTTGATGAAATTCTCATGCATTTTGGCACTACCTTAGCAATGAGACAGACAAGGGGTATGTGAGAATCTCCTCTTTTTCATTGCGCAATTATCTCTTTGGTAATCTGCATCCTCCCTGTGGTGAAATCCCACCACAAAGGGGCTCAACTGCAAGTTATAGAGGACAGCCAGGGAGACTGCAGGTGGATAGGGAGACATGTAACATAAAACAACAGTTGTACTTTTTGTTATCCTACAGCAATAAAGTAAGCTCAAAAATATCACCAAAACAAAATCTGAAAGTTTCTTTACATCTCCAGATTCTTTGTTAAGGTAGGAAATGATGGGAAAGATGTGACTCTGAAGCAGTCTGGTAGTGTAACATATTTTGCTAAATGGTTCTCATGTGCTTTAAGGCAGTTTCTTATATTTCTTTACTGGCTATTTCAGGTGAGGGTAGGATAGAGAACATGATAGCACCTTAACAATGAGTGTGGCTGAGCAGAGTAAATGTAATATGCAACATCTTAACACAGAGTTCCTATTTTCACTGGTATCCCCCTGTCTAGTTTCTATATCATTCTACTGACTAATGGGGATATTCCTTCCTAAAGATATTTATACTAACATTAATACTATGCAGAAATCTTGCAAATTCTCAAAAATGGAAAAAGTGCAACAGACTTGTGGTGCTGAAGTATAATTCTGAACTGAAAAGAACAGGTGTTGTAGCTAAAACCTGGCTCACCTAAAGCAACCAAATCACTTTGAAGATACAACATAATGTTATTTGCATACATGCAAGCAATAACAAAGTATATATTGGGCCCCCAGCAAAGCTTTGACACTTTGCTGAGCAGTCAAGCACAACCAGAGCTTATAGATCTTCAGCCCACTACATTGCAAAAGCAAGACAAAGAAAAAACTAATTTCATCAGGTGGAGTGGTTAAACTGTTGTAGGATTTAAATTGGGATGAGGCAGAGGGAGGGGAGTGTTTGAGACCTTGTGAAATACCCTGACATTTTTGACAGATGTCAGTTCAGCAATCTGGGGGTTGTAATGATGCTGTTGGTATAAATGTGGGGCAAAGTAGACATATTAATTGGTTACTGGGTCTGGTTCCCATTTCAGCATCATTGTTCTGCTGTTTTTGGTTGCTTGTGAGAACCTGCTTCAGGTTGGGTAATTGACTGAATGAAAGCATGGGCCTACCACCCAGTGCCTCAAAAAATGCTGTGTCATTGTCCACAATGGGTTGTAACTTATTCATAATACATTTGAGCAGGTTGAGCAGTGAATAGTACATGACAACCAGTTTGTGTTTTGTCGTCTGTTTTAAGATCTGTCTTTTAGTAGATCCTCCCTGGGAATCTATCTGACTGTATTGATGTGTCTATTGATCTCATTGTGTGGGTAGTTCAATCTCCTGAATGCCTGATTTAACCAGCCTTCCCTTCCCATTCCTCTCCATCAGCCTCATCCCAATTTAAATTCTACAATTTAGCCAGTCCATGCTGAATGAAGTGAACAGCAGTTCAAGATTGTTTATGCCTTTTAATAAAATGTCTTAGTTTGAAAAAATGCTTTTTTGTGGCTGGAGGACTTTGGGAACTGGGGTTTTAGTCTGGGA